TGCTATTGTCTCCTCGGCGCATGTGTCCGATTGCCGCGCCCAGCGCAAACCATATAATGGCGATGATAACCAAACCCAGGCTGTGGAGGTATGGGTGGTTATCAGGCGCGTTGCCGCGCTGGGGCGGGTATATTGGCGCCTCGTCGAGTCTACAAGGCGCTTTATCTTGCGGGTCCCCCCGCTTATGCTTCAGATACTGCGCTTTCGGCTCGTTGCCGAGCGGTCGGTGACAGCGTAGTGATGAAGCGTATATGGTACCAATGTTGTTGTCTAGACGTTGTACCTCTCGTGTTGCTTCCTGCTCTTGGGTTGATCCTCGTAAATGTTGGTGGAGTGGTGGCGCAGGGTAGACGGTGGTCACGAGGATCGTGCCCGGTAGCGGAAGGATGAGAAGAGCAAGAGCTGACCACACGAGAGTGCGGCCAGCTCCGCTACCAAGTCTGAAATGACTCTGGTAGGTCATATTGCATCCAATTCCATGTCGAAGGAATACGATATGGGGTGTGGATGGGTAGGATAGGAGAAGATCGATGTATCGGTCTTTTCAGCACATAGCGAATACCAAGTCAAGTATCCGGGCAAATAGGGCGCGCGTGCCTTGAGCCATAAGGCAGCGACGCGCAGGCTATACTCCCGTTTACATATAACATCTCCCGAAGAACTACCCTTAAAGTCCTCCTCCTCCTCCTCTTCCTCATCATCATCATCATCATCATCATCATCATCATCATCATCATCATCATCATCATCATCATCATCATCCCTCCCATCCCTGCCTCTGCTCACCGCATGTCCACCATTTCGGCACACCTCTCGCACATTCCGTGGCCCTATAATAGGGAGTTTCACCGAAGGCCCCAGTGGGGGTGCCCGCAAGAGTTCGCCACACCCAGTACAGCCTTTCGTGGCCCCATAGGGAGCTCCACCGAAGGCCCCAAGTTATGTGCCCGCATGCGTCCGCCACACCCAATACATCGTCTCGTGGTCCCATCGGGAGCTCCACCGAAGGCCCCAGTGGGGGTGGCCACATGCGTCTGCCACACGCAGTGCAGCGTTTCATGGCCCTACAGGGAGCGCCACCAAAGGCCCAAGTGGGGGCCTCCATGCGTCCGCCACACCCAGTACAGAGTTTCGCGGCCCCATAAAGAGCTCACCCGAAAGCCTCAGTTGGGGTGCCCTCATGCGCCCGCTACATCCAATACAGCGCTTCGTGGCCCCATAGGGAGCTCCACCGAAGGCCCCAGTGGGGGTGCCCGCATGCATCCGCCACACGTAGTACAGCGTCTCGTGGCCCCATCGGGAGCTCCACCGAAGGCCCAAAGTTAGGTGCCCGCATGCGTCCGCCACACCCAATACAGCTTTTCGCGGCTCCACCGAAGGCCCCAGTGGGGGGTCCCGCATGCGTCCGCTACACCCGGTGCAAAACTTCGTGGCGTCATAGGGAGCTCCACCGAAGGCCCCAGCAGGGGTGCCCGCATGCGTCCGCCAAACCCAGAACAACGCTTCGTGGCCCAATAGGGAACTCCACCGAAGGCCCCAGTAGGGGTGCCCGCATGTGTCCGCCACACCATGTACAGCGCTTCGTGGCCCCATAGCGAGCTTCACCGCCACACCCAGCACAGCGTTCCGTAGCCCCATAGGGAGTTCCACCGAAGACCCCAACAGGTGTGGCCACATGCGTCCGCCACACCCAGTACAGCGTCGCGTGGCCCCATAGGGAGCTCCACCGAAGGCCTCAGGGGGTGGCCACATGCGTCTGCCACACCCATTTCGGCGCACCCCTCACACCTGTCGTGGCCCTATAGGGAGCTCCACCTACGGCCCGAGCGGGCGCGGCCACATGCGTCCGCCCGACCAATTTGGGCACATCCTTCCCAAGTTGCGTGGCCCCATGGGGAGTTCCATCTAAGGACCCAGCGGCGACGTTCGCATGCGTCCGACCGACTCACGTCGGCACACCCCTCACGCATTTCGTAGCCCCATAGGGAGTTCCACCGAAGGCCCCAGCGGCGACGTTTGCATGCGCCTCCCCCGCCCATTTCGTTCGGCACACCCTGCACGCGCTTCCTGCCCCATGGGAAGCTCCACCGAAAGTTCGCATACGTCCCACCCGTTCGTCCCCCCCCTACCTGCACTGCCCCGCGCCTCGTTCTTCCTGTGGCACGCTGCCTATGAGAACAGAGGGTATATCGTGTGCGCTATTCGGGGTTTGCGTGCCCTCCTCCTTCGTCTCATCTCCCTCGCGGTTCTCGCAGCAGCGTATGGTTGGGTTTTTCGTCAAGCTTAATGTGAATAACATTGACCCCCAGAGGTCTCGACCCGTGCCACGGGACTGGCTTTTCATCCTGAGTCGTTGTTTGACGGCCCCGAGGCCTGGTAAGGGCCCCCAGAGGCCGAAATCAAGGGGATCTGGGAATCCAGATCTGCGAAGATATAAATGAGACAATCGCGGCTTGTTCTCTCCAATTCGGCCATCCGGGGCCCGCTTTCGGGCCCAGGAGGGCCATCAAACATGAGATTCCGGGGCGAAGAACTACATCCCTGGGGAGGTGGCCGGGACCTCAGCAGTGCCACGGATGGACAAAGTCATATCGTCGAGCGTCTGTGAAGGTTAAGTGGAGGGCCCAGAGATGGCTAGACACTGGCCTCGTGCTTCTGGCAAGAATGCCACGGCGCCTCGCTTAAGCCCTCCGCCTCCTCGGGCGCAGAATCGTTCCGCCAGCCGCCCGAGGCGCGACCTCGAAGTGGCCACACCTTCGCCGTGCCACCACCTTCACCCTCACAGAATGTCGCCATGCCGCTTGTTCTCGACGCGCCCAAGTGGACGACGCCGACACCGCGGCAAAAGCCACGGCAAGCCCTGCGTCCTGCAACCCAAGTGGACGAGGCCGCCGCGCGGCAAACCCCACGGCAAGCCCTGCTTCTGGGGCGGCATCTGCCCTGGTCGCCGCGGCGCCCTGAGGCCGCGCGTGGGAGCAAACGGCGCGGCGACAAGCGCGCCAACGTTCCCAGACAGGAGGAGGAGGCGGAGGAGGAGGAGGGAGGAGGGAGGAGGAGGGAGGAGGAGGGAGGAAGGAGGAGGAGGGAGGAGGAGGAGGAGATTCCCAGACACCTGGCCAGGGATGCCCGGAAATGCTGCCGTCTCGCTTCGGATTCCGCCGCCCTCCGCCCGCGGCTTCCGCCGGGGGACGCCCGCCATCGCTCTTCCTCCGCCAGCATATCACGAGCCGTCCTGCTCTGCGGGTGTCTCCGCTGGAGGCGCGGCGCGCTGAAGGCGGGGCCCTCTCTGGAGGACCGCACGTGGATGGGGGAGGGAAGTAAGACGAAGCCAGGACGAGGATCAAATCGGGTCAGGATGCATGGGGAGTCTCTGAGAGCCGGCGGCCCTGGAAGGCGGCCTTCTCAGAGCGTTCCGGAACGCTCTAAGAGCGTTCCCAAACGCTCTGGAACGGATTGATCCTCGTCCTAACCCGTCCGAAGGGTGCAAAGGATTTGCTTTGTTCGACGGCCTATCAATGCACTACCGCTGGAGGTCAAGGCCGTGCACCACCAGCACCGGAAAGTAAAAATAGGGCGCCAAAGACCGACAAGGGATAACCAGATCAAGAGTGCGCTGGGCGGTCAGAAGGAGCGCAAAGGCAAGCCCCGCCAGAGACGAGACTGAGAGCACGGATCCCATGCCGCAGAGAAGTATGCAGCGGATACGTATGATAAGAAGCCTTGCGGTAAGAGATGCTGGGGCACATTCACCGATACTTCGCCGTCCCGAAGTGCCCCAAGACTTCTGTGGGTCCCAGGGGCTTGTCGGGAACGAGGAGTATACGGGGCCCCCGCTGTCAGGCTGATTCCGTATCTGACTTGCCCACTCCGAAAGGCAGAGGGGATACAGAGATACACAAGGGCGCCCCGAGAGCTCCCGTCCAGGCCATCGCAGAATCACTGATCCTGGGACGTTACCATACCCATCCGATACGCTCGACCCCGCGGATACGTGGCGTCTTTTCGCGATGCCCCGCGGAAAACGCATCCGTGCGACCGCGTATCCGCGGGCTCGCGCCCCAGAATCCAGACCGCAAGGGCGTGGATACGGACACCGTCGCCGCTCGTGGACTGCACGAAGCGGGGCACCGCCCAGTGAAGGGCGAAGTCCAGTTTAGATCAGGGGCAAAAAACGGCGACAGGTGCACGCCCAGATACGTACTAAGGACGTCAACCTGCTGGACACACCAAGGGCGCAGGAAAGTGGCGAAAGATGCACACACCTAGCACCGCCCAGGAAGGGTGGAGTCCAGTGGGTCCGAGTGGGACGTCACTCCGCTTGGCACGAAACCGTCCGAGGATCTCACGAAGACCTCTGCCTAGAGGAGGACGAGCCCTGAAAACCAAGACCTACAACGTCGCCACGTTCTCGGACATGGGGCCTGAAAGCGGCCCCTGGACACCGAACCAGGGGAGAAAGTGCAACATGGAACAGATCATGACCTCGGAGGCCTGGGAGGGCCGACTCTGGACTCGAGGGCAGCACGTTCGTCGCGGCTCGATCGTTGACAGCCCCAGAGCCCAAAGTATGGGCCTGCAGGGGCCCAGAGCTTGGAGAAGCACCAGTCGAGACGTTGTCCACGACGCCCAGAGGCCTCTGGGACCCCCAGGGGTCGACCCTGGCGCGCTTCCAGGCGGCGCCGACGATGACACTCGGGACAGCGGCGGCAGAAGCGGCTGCGACGTCGGCCGCCGACGGTGGCGCCGACGCCGACGCCGATGCTGACGCAAACGCCGATACCGCCGCCGCCCCTGCCGCCCCCGTCCCCGCCGGCGCCGCCCCTATCATCGTCACTCCCGTCGTCGTCGACGCCGCCGCCGCCCTCGTCGCTGGCATCGTCGCCGCCACCGCCGCCGCCGTCGTCGCCGCCGCCGCCGCCCCCGTCGTCGTCGCTCGCCTCCGCTGCTCGCCGCCGTCGTCGTCGTCGCCGTCCAGCCGCGGCCCCCGAGAGGTGCCCGGCCTGCGCCGTGGGCGCCAAGGGCGCGCCGAAGCCACTCGCCTCTGCGGGCGCCGCGGCGCGGCGGGTCCTCGGCCCTCTGGCGGGCCCTTGCCTCGAAGTGCCTAGGATCGCAAGATTGTAGTCTAGCGCTGGTGCAGCGAAGAAGGTGGAGGGAGGAGGGAAGGGGGAGGGGGAGGGATGAGGGGGAGGGAGGGGAAAAGGGAGGAGGAGGAGACGGGAGGAAAGGGGAGGAGGATGGGCGGTGGGGGGGAGGGAGAGCAGGAGGAGGGAGGAGGAGGAGGAGGGAGGAGGAGGAGGAAGGAGAGCAGGAGGAGAGGAGGAGGAGGAGGAGGAGGAGGAGGAGGAGGGGGGGGGAGGAGGAGGGGGGGGGATGGGGAGGAGGAGAGGGAGGAGGAGGAGGAGAGGAGGAGGAGGAGGAGGAGGTTTTCCGACGCCAGTCGTGCGCTGCCGACACCAGGAACGCCCTCTCGCCTTCGGCGCGCCCCCGCCCTCGGCGGGAGGCCCGCGGAGGGCCGGCGGGAGCTCGGCGGGGGCTCGGCGGAAGGGGGCGGGTGCCACGGAAGGGAGAGGAGTGCCAGGCTCGAGGTTCCGCAAGCCCTCTTTTGCGGCATGTTCTGGCGGAGCCCTTTCTGGGACGCCCCTCAGCGATGAGTACAAGCAGAAAGGGATGCGAATGAGTGCTACAACGCCGCATGGTACAGGATGAGTGTCGTCCCTTTTCTTTTGTTGTTTGCCTGCAGTCTCCGCTCGTAGATGCTTCCTCGTTTGTTCATTCACCGCAGCCGTTGTCACGAAACCGGCGTTTCTGAATGAGTGCCCGTGCGCTGATAAGACAACGAAAGCTCTGACTGTTGCTGCGTTACCTTGAAATTGTCTATTCATATTGGTTTTGCTCGAGGATTTCGTATGGACTACCTAGAAAACCGCCCCAACCCAACCCGAAGTCATCGTCAGGCTCGTCGATTTCCGGAGGGGGGGGCACTCCAAAAAATGGAGGAAACGCGTCGGAACCCGTACACCTCCCAACCCGAAATCTGGGGTGGTCTAGGGCATCGGTGGGGGGGAGTAGTAACGGACTTTCCAGCCTCGGGACTAAAAGAACAATACATGGCGTAAACATAATTTCGAAAAAGCGCGTTTCACGGGCGCTCGCCTTGGAAACATTCGGCGGCACGTTTCGAACCGACTCAGCGCCGGCGCTGGCGTCAGCGCCGACGGCGGGAGCGCAGCGACGATGACCAGGGAGGGCCCAGAGGCCGCAGAGGGGAACACAAATCGCCATCTTCACCACCATAACAACCACCACCAACAACAACCACCACAACACCACCACCACCACCGCCACCACCACCACCACCACAGCCCACCCCCACCACCACCTGACCCAAAGCCAAAACATGGTGGCGGAAAGACCCGAAGGGCACACCACCACCACCACCACAAACCACCACCACCACCGCCGCCACCACAACAACCACAAAACCCACCCCCACCACAACCAGCACAACCCACCACCACCACCACAACCACCACCATCACCACAAACCACTACACCACCACCACCACCACCACCATAAACGCCACCACCACCACGACCACCACAACCCACCACAACCCACCACAACCACCACGACTACCACCACCACCACCACCACAAACCACCACACCACCACCACCACCATCAGCGCCACCACCGCCACCACCACCACAAACCACCACCACCACCAACAACACAAACCACCACAACCCACCACCACCACGACCACCACCACCATCACCACCACACACCACACACCACACACCACCACCACCACCATCACAACCAGCAGCGCCACCACCACCACCAACATCACAGCCCACAACCACCACCACCACAACTCTCACACCACCACCACCACCACCACCGCAAACCACCACGCAACCACCACCACCACAGCCACCACCACCACCACCACCACAACAACCCACCACCACCACCACACCCGCAACAGCCCACCACCACTACGACCACCACAATCTATCACACCACCACCACCACCACCACAACCACGGCCGCCACAACCACCACCTCACCACTAGAACACCGACCACCACCACCACCCCACCACAAACCACCACACCACCACCACCACCACCACCACCGCCATCACACCACCACCACACCACACCAACACCACCACCGCCACAACCACACCACCCAACCACCACAACCACCACCCACCACACCACACCACCACACCACCACCACCACAACTAGCACAACCCACCACCACCACAACCACCACCATCACCACAAACAACTACACCACCACCACCACCACCACCACCAAAACGCCACCACCACCACAACCCACCAAAACCACCACGATCACCATCACCACCACAAACCATCACACTACTACCGCACCACAACCAACACCACCACCGCCGCCACCATTACACCCACAACAATCCACCACCACAACCACCGCAAACCACCACACCGCCACCACCACCACCACAACTCACCACTACCACCACTGCAAACCACAACGCAAACACCATTACCACCACAGCCCACCACCACCACCACCACCACCACCACCACAGAGAGGTCACCAAGAGACGCCCAGGAGGCTTCACCAATGCCCTTCAGAGGCCCCCGAGAGCCCCCGACGAGATCCCAAGAGGAATCCATCAGGACTCTGACCCAAAACCAAGGCACTGTGGCGGAGCGTCGTCGCCGTCGTCCTCGTCGACGCTCCCCGCCGCCGTCGCCAGCCGCCGCAATCGCCGGCGCCAGCCCAGAAAAGGAAGTCGTCGTCTTCATCGACGCTCCCCGACGCCGCCAGCCGCCGCCAGCCGCCGCCAACGCCAGCGCCAGCCCGAGGAGAGGAAGAGAGAGGAAGTAGAAAAGGAAGGGGGAGGGGTTGAACCCCCCCCCCTCTGTCACGGGAGAAGGAGGGTGGGGGTTCGAACCCCCCCCCTCCAATCCAGGGGGTGGGGGCGTCCGGTTCCAAAGCCCCCTCACCTCCAAGCGCCCACAGAACGCGCTCTTTCCATGATTTCTTTGAGCTGCGCGCGGAGCCCAAAGAAATCATGTATGCAGTGATTGTTCTTCGAGGGACGCCTTCCAGCGGCTGCGCCTCGCCGAGAGCGCGCCGGAGGTGCAGCCGCCGTCTGGTCGTGTTGCACCCTTGCCAACGGCCAGCTGGAAAGAACGCCGGACGGGAGGCTGCGTCCAGAACGGCAACCGCCTGGCCTACCGCTCCAGAGGGTGAGGTACTCTACCCCCGCCTGGGCGCCCAGACCCCCGACGTCATGATTTGATCGCAACGTCGAGCCCCAAAGGTCTCGACCACTTCCCTGGGACCGTTGTCTCTCATCCTGAGTCGTTCTGTTGACGGTCCCGAGGCCTGGTAAGGGGACCTGGAGCCGACAACAGCGAAAGACCTTCCGTCGCTATCTCTCATGACTCGACGGGGTCGGGGCGCGCACACGGCCTCCCCGGGAAAAAGGGGGTGCCCCCGTCGTTCCGCGCGGCCGCCAGAGGCCCGAGGCGTGGCCTGGCCACCGCTGCTCCTGACGTCGGATGAGCGGCGATCGTACACGGGCCTTACACGAGATGACAGAGCGACGCTGCCGCTTACGCGGGCAGCCAGCGCGACGCCACCTTGAAGACGAGGGCGCTTACGCACGACCTTACGCGGGCAGTTTACGCGCCAATGTCCGCGCGGACGACCCCGTTTTTGAGACGCTCAGACGAGGCCCGGGCCTCCCCCCCTGGTGGCGTCGTGGAAGGCCCGGTGGCGTCTGCAGTCCCTCGGCTCGCACTGAAGATGCAACGACGTCCCGCGATCTGCTCGCATGTCTCAGGATGTACCTCGATGTATCTCGACGGCGAGCGAAGGCGGCCCCGATGTACCTCGATGTATCTCGATGTAAGGAGGAGGCCTTCTCAGCAGGCGGCGGGGTTTCTCAGAAGCCGCCTTCTGAGAAGTCTTCTGCGTCTTCGGGGGACGCTTAGACAAAGTCCCACAAACACCAAAAGACTTCCGAGCCTTCCGTCCCCTCTCACTTCCCCCCGGGCTAGCCGCCGAATATCTGGATGTACCTCGATTTATCTGGACCGGCCTCAATTTATCCGGCTTACCCCCGCAGGTCGACTGGAGAGAAGTCGTCCAAACCCGAGGGATTGCGGCGTGGCGCGCAGAATCATTCGCAGGCTAGTCGGGGTCAGACTTGCGGGGGTCCGTGTTAGAGAACGGCAAACCAAGGAAAACGCACATGTGCTCTGATAAGAATACGATCCCAGGCAGAACAATCCCAAAGGAGCGACGGAGGAAAAGCCAAGGAAGACATATTGCTTGAGACTAATACGGCACCAAAAAAGAAACCTGAAGAAATTGAGCTCACCCTTTCCTGATCCCCGACAGGGTGACCCCCATTAGCAGGGCCTCCTCCTCCTCCTCCTCCTCCTCCTCCTCCTCCTCCTCCTCTCGTCCTCCTCCTCCTCCTCCTCCTCCTCCTCCTCCTCCTCCTCCTCCTCCTCCTCCTCCTCCTCCTCCTCTCTCCCGCCCTCCCTCCCTCCCTCCCCCCTCCTCCTCAACCCATTTTCCTTGTAAGTAACCCCTTCCTGTCGCAACCCCAAACGTGTCGGTAGCGCGGGCAGGGTGTTTCGCCTGAGACATAGTCGCCATGTCTGATCCTGAAGCTTTAAATGTGTGACCGCTTCACGGATACAGGGCGGGAGTTTTTCAAAATGTGGTCCACGCTTGAGCGGCGCAAACATGATGGAGACCAATCCTTTTCAAAATGTGGCTCTCCCCTTAGCGCCGCGCATCTTCGTCTTTACAGTTTGCAGCAGCTTCCAGAATGGAGGGCGGCTGGATTTCAAAATGGGGTTCTCGACAGAGCGCAGCGAACATTCGTCTGCAAAGTGTGCCACCGCTTCAAGGTAGTAAGCCAAGGCATTTTCAAATGGGCATCTCGCCTTGGCGCCGCACGTATCAACTTTCAACGGTTGCAGCAGGATCACTGATGGAGAGCGGATCCTCGTCAAAACGTGGCTCTCGACGTAGCGCCGCGCACATTCGTCTTAAAGTGCGCGACAGTACTGAGAAATCGTAATGTTGAAATCACAGGGTTGTGTTCTGGCACGATTCAGGATTGTCAGGATGCAGCATCATGTTGACCCGGGCGTTGGAGTCACACGAACTGTGTTTTGGCACATTGAGGATTGTCCAGATGCAACAGTCACGCTGACTCACGGCGTTGAAGTTCCAGCAATGGTGAGTTGGTACGATTGAGGATTCTCACACCGTTGCCCTCCGATGGGGCACTTCCAGCATGAGTTATATTTTCGCACGGCCATATGAAGGGGGAACCTGGAAGGAGGATTGCTTTGCTACATCGTTGGTGCGTTTGTGATTTCCATTAGTCCTCCTCGTCTCCTCCTCCTCCTTCTCCTCTTTCTCCCTCCTCCTCCTCCTCCTCCTCTTCTTCCTCCTCCTCCTCCTCATCATCCTCCTCCTCCTCCGCCGCAGCTTCCGCCTCCGCCTCCGCCTCCGCCTCCACCTCCTCCTCCGCCTCCTCGTCCTCCTCCTTTTCCTCTTCCTCCTCCAACTCTCCTCCTCCTCCACCTCCTCCTCCTCCTCATCATCATCATCGTCCTCCTCCTCCTCTTCATCCTCCTCCGCCTCCGCCTCCTCATCCTCATCCTCATCCTCATCATCATCATCATCATCATCATCATCATCATCATCATCATCATCATCATCATCAGCATCCTCATCATCATCATCAGCAGCAGCATAATCATCAGCAGCAGCATAATCAGCATCATCATCAGCATCATAATCATCATCATCAGCAGCAGCATCATCATCATCGTCATCATCACCATCATCAGTAGCATAATCATCATGATCATGATGATCATCATCATCATCATCATCAGCAGCAGCATCATCATCATAATCACCATCATCATCATCAGCATCATCATCAGCATCATCATCATCAGCATCATCATCATCAGCATCATCATCATCATCATCATCATCATCCTTTTCTCCCCTCCCCCTCACTCTAACCCTCCTCATCATCATTTTCTCCCCTCCCCCTCTCCCTCACCCTCCTCCTCCTCCTCCTCCTCCTGATGCTCCTTCCCCCCCATCCCAAACCCTGCGTTTTTGCTTGAGGCAGCGTCAGGCGAGCGCTTCGGGTTTCATGCACATGCGACTGTGAATTGAAATCCACGTGCCATCACATCAGACGGGCATTGCGGAAGACCTCCTTGAGAGGGGCACTGGCCTTGTGCAAGACCTCCTTAAGAGGAACCTCCGCCTCCACCTCCGCCTCCTCCTCCTCCTCCTCCACCTCCTCCTCCTCCTCCTCCGCCTCCTCGTCCTCCTCCTCCTCCTCCTCCTCCTCCTCCTCCTCCTCCTCCAACTCCTCCCCCTCCTCCTCCCCTTCCCTTCCCCCCCCCCGCCCCGGCGGGGCGCCTGAGGTTGCCACTGCGCCGCCGCCAGCCCTCCGGCGCCGAGACCGGGGATCGTCGGCTGGAGGGACTGCTGCTCCTGTGCCGCCGCCCGAACAAGGGCGGGCCGAGGCGGGCGAGGGCAAAAAGAGGAGGGAAGAGGAGCGGGGGGAGAAGGGCGGGGGGAGGCAGGAGGGAGACAGGAGGAGGAGGAGGAGGAGGAGGAGGAGGCTGAAGAGGGGGAAGCGGCTGAGGCTGCCGATGATACGCCCTGTCAAAAGGGCCTACCACGCTGAGAGAGCACCTCGGCCGACGCCGAGGCACATGCGGCCGAACCAATGCCCAAATTCCGAAACCTTAGGGTGGTACATCGGACCGACGCCGAAGCACCAGCGCCGAGCATGTGGCCAGCCTTGGAACCTGGAGCCACCCGACTGCGACTGAGAATTGAGGAGGCACCAGCCGCGGTGAGAGACGACATGAGCCTAACGGGGCCGCCGCGCCAACACGAACAAGCAGTATCGAGCCAACCCGTTCCCGCGAATCAGCCTTTCTCTGGCCCGCGTCGCCTTCTGCAGGGCCTCCTCGCTGAAATTGTCATTGAATTTCGGGCCAAAGCGCTTCTGGCCAATGCCATGAGCCTCGCCGTGCTAATGCCCTCAGCCATGGCCTTGAGGTCTGGAGCCTTGCCCTTGGCGTAGCCCTTTCCCTTGCCCTTGTCATTACCCTTGACCTTGCGTTTGCTGCCGCACCGCTGTGACTCGAGGCGGCCTATGCCCGAGAGCCCTCCAGCACCGGCAAGAACAGCTTCATCCTCGTGTGCCGCCACCGTCACTATTGGCTTTGTAGGGGCCTTCGAACCATGTTGTCGTATTCGGTGAGATGCCCTTGCCTTCGGTGGGGCTAAGCTTATTACCTCCAGTACCCTCGTACATGTACTCGACCGGCTTCTCAGAGACCACCTGCTTGCGCCAGGCCACGAAATCCAGGTCAAGCAAGTCCCTGAAGTAGCCGCTCGCAGGAACATCCAAGTCGTTCGCGCCCTCTTTGCCCAGCGGTTCTTGCGTGTCGATGCTGAACCAATGGCATCCGTCACCTACGTGTGCGATCCCTTCTGATATTTCTTCTGATTATAATACAGCTCCTTTACATCGTACTTCGTATCCTTCTGCTGCGTCGGCTCCTTCTCCATGCCCCTCGAGAAAATGATGCCCCCATGGTCCGCCGCGCGCTGGGCAGATGCAATCCAGAGGCTGTCGAGCTCCTCCTGCATCGCCCCTTCCAGTCCTCTCGTGGAGATCGCCACCTGCAGCGCGTCCAAGCCCATGAACGGCGTGTCGCTGGTGATCTACGCCTTCTCCTGCTCCCGCGGGTCCTGCGAGTTCCCGCCCATTTCCATCGCCTCCGACTCCTGCGGGTCCTGCAGATCGAGGGCCTCCACTAGCGCGATCGCCGAGCACCGCTGGCACCCCGCCCAGAAGCCAAAGTTCACGTAGCGGCAGCTCGGCCTCAGGCACTGCCATGTCTGGATCCAGACTGTGCACACTTTGCGAGGCGGCAGAGCCAGGACGTGGTCCTGCGAAACCTCCTGGTAGCCCTTGCCTGTGACCCAGACTTCATTCGAGAACCGATGCCTGCGCGACAACATAAATGAAGCCTGCGATGCCCCGGAAGCTCGAACAGGTGCCTGGTGCCGCATTCCAAAGGCCAGCCTCCCGTACTTCTTCCGAGCCTCCTGGAGGTGCTCGTTGATCGAGCCCTGCTGGTCGATCCGAGTGTCCTTGATGCCATAGCCCAGCCGAGGCCCAGAACTCGTCATCGCACACGAAGAAGCTGACGGCCTCCGCCTTGAAGCCGCTCGCGAGGCTCTCCAGCCTCTCCGAGTTGCTCCGACAGCAATCTTGCGCTAACATAGACTTGAGGAAGGGGGAGGAAGAGGAGGAAGAGGGACCAGTGCAAAGCCGAGACGCACCAAGGATGTAGCAATAATCAAACCCTCCCTCACAGCTCCCTCTTCATAAGTTCCTATATGAATATACAATCATTTCGGGAAGTGCCCGAATCATCCAATCATCCCCCCCTGTTTATTCTTGAAACAAATCCGGAGCAGCCGCGAATCAACGCGACTGCTCCGTCCTAACATTCCCAAACCGATCCTGAACACCACTGCAGGAACTTCAACACACCGCAATCAACCTGACTGTTGCGTCGTGACAAGCCTAAATCCGCCGACCCTGTCGGCGTGTGACAGGGGCTGTTCCGTCGCCATCGCCGTCGCTGCCGCCGTCGCGTCGCCGCCGCCATCACGCCCCCTCCTTACCCTGAGTCCGTCGCCGCTCCCACCCTTTCCTTGGGCCCTCGCCCTCAAGCACGCCAGCTAAAGCGAAATGCACCAGCCCATCCACAGCGAGAGTAAGCAACGTTGTCATTGAGTCGAAGGGAAGCCCCTTCCCTTTGATCCCTTCCCCGCTGAGGGGGGGAAGGGAGGTCCCAGGGAGTGTTCCGGGGGGGGGGTCCCGCGGGGTGGTCCAGGGGGGTGGTCCTGGGGGGGGGTCCCGGGGGGTGGTTCCGGGTCAGAATACCACCCTCCCAGGGCGTGTCAGCAGGGCCGAGAACTCCAGGGTCGGCGGCACCGGCCGTAAGGCCTTAGCAATATTGCCGGAACGCCATTTCTCTAACCTCAGCCCTACAATTATCTATAACTGTTGCGAACTTTGAAAACGAATGAGCGCGGCGCCAAGGCGAGAGCACAATTCGGAAAAGACGGGCGTTCAATCCTATTTCAAAGCTGTAGGACCAAACGTGCCGAGGATGTGCCATGCAGAACGCCCAGACGGGGCGAATTACCAATAAGCTTGGGGGTGTGACAGAGAGGAAGAGGAGGAGGAGCAGGAGGAGAAGGAGGAGGAGGAGGGGGAGGGGGAGAAGGAGGAGGAAGGGGAGGAGGATCAAAATGTTTGGACGTTTGTGGAAGTGGGCGGATCTTCGAAAACACCTGGAGGCCTCCAGCAGATACTGGGAACTCGCTAGGCTTCTAGAACCTCAGAATCAAGATAGAAAGGAGAAAGTAATCTCCCGTTTCCTCCTCCCTCCTCTTCCTCTTCCTCCTCCTCCTCCTCCTCCTCCTCCTCCTCCTCCTCCTCCTCCCACCGCGCGCGCTCGCGAAGGGGTGAAGGAACACAGGGAGGAGGAGGAGAAGGAGGAGGAGGAGGAGGAGGGGGAAGAAGAAGAGGAGGAGGAGGAAGAGGAGGAGGAGGAGGAGGAGGGAGAGGAGAAGGAGGGGGGGAAAGGAGGAGGAGGAGGAGGAGAAGGAATAGGAGGGATGGGGGGGAGAAAGGAGGGGGAGAAGGGGTGGGGGGGCAGGAACAGGAGTAGGGATGGAAGAGAGAAGATGAAGAGGAAAGAGGAGGAGGAGGAGGAGACGGGGGAGCAGCAGAAAGAGGAGGAGGAGGAGGAGGAAGAAGGAACGCCCATCCAGCTCTCCATGCCCCTCTTCCACCCACCGCCCCCACCTCCCCCACCCCCTGGCCTGCGACATCATGGAGAGCGCCCCAGCGTCCATCCCGCCCATCTGCATCAGCTGCGCGTTGGCCTTGCCGCGGGCAGACCCCGCTGGACGAGGGGGGACGGGGTGAAGAGGAAACTGCAACAGCGGAGGGCACAGAGGAGGAGGGCGGCGAGGGTGAGGAGGAGGAGAGGCAAAAAAACACAGAGAAGGAGGAGGAGGAAAGGAGGAGGAGCAGGAGGAGGAGGAGGAGGAGCGCACGACGCCAAGAGAAAGAAAAGGCGGCCAAGAGCACGAGACGCGAAACGAACGAGGCCCGTCCAGGGGCAAGAGAGGAGCAGAGGGACATCCGCATCTCCTCAAGGGAGTTTTCTGCAGACCGAAATTCTGGCTGTGATTGATGCGTGACGGAAGCCAACACCGAGGCCAGCTGCGAAATAGCGCTTGCCACCGGTGCACTTATGGGGACGGCCCAGGAACAGAGAAGGGCACCGACACCCGGTGCACAGACAGACGGAATCCCGCACCTCCAAAGGGAGCTTTACCCCAGCTCCCTGCCACGTAGGATGGCCTGACCGCGACGATCACGGGAAGCAGTGAACCGCACACGCGCGCGGATAGCACGGAAGGCGGCGGCGGGGCCGCGGGCGCCTGAGGAGCGTAACATTTTGTGCGCTCCGTGCACCACGTCGAGGAACGTGGCGCACGACAGGAGAGCGACGTCGGACAGCGGGAAGAGAGGGAAGAGGAGCAGGCGGGCGACGGCAGCAGCGGAGGCAAGGGAGGGAGGGAGACGAGGAAGCAGAGAGCAGCGGGTAGCGGCAATAGGACAAATGGCGAGGTGAGGAATGTCGTGACCGTCGGCCTGCCCACAAAAATGACAGCCCTGAGTGGGCCCAGGAAACCTTCGAGAGGTGACCAAGGCGATGCAGATAGCCTTCAGGACGGTGGCTCGAATGAAGGGGGGGCAATTTGCCCCAGCCTCCGGAAAAACTGGTACACACGGTCAAACTCGGTGGGGAAAGGGGGGCCGAAGAAGCGCTGGACCCTCTCACGGATCATCTTCCTCGAAGACAGGTTTAACGAGCCATCATCAATTTCGTGGTCTGAAACTGCGACAAATCATACTTGTGAAAAAATGTCAGGTAGACTTTACTGGCAGGTCATGGCACAGAAATGCAGAGCCATTTGTTTGCGGTCGATGCAATTTTTTGCTCGGGCCAGGATTCGCATGCGCCCACCGTACCCATGTTGGCACCCCCCTCACACGTTTCGTGGCCCCATAGGGAGCCCCACCGAAGGCCCAAATGCCAGCGTTCGCATGCGCCCACCGCACCCATTTTGGTACACCCTTCACACGCTTCGTGACCCCACAGGGGGTCCTACCGAAAGCCCACATGCCAGCGTTCGCATGCGCCCACTCCACCAAAGTTGGCATGCCCCTCATACGCTTCGTGGCCCCATCGGGAGCCCCACCGAAGGCCCACATGCCAGCGTTCGCATGCACCTACCGCACCCATTTTGGCACAACCCGCACACGTTTGGCTACTCAGCTTCTCAGTGGCATTTGGGGTGGGATTATTTGTTTTACCTGTCTCACTCCGTTTGGACGCTCTGTCAATCAATTTACAATTCAGCGTGTTTGGTTCCAGCTTCACGTGTGCAAACATATACACCACATGATATTATGTATGCACCTGTACATATGCACATACACCAACATAAACGTGTGCATAGGCATCTACGTATATGTACACGTACATGCACATGCACTTATACATATGTATATACGTGTATGTGCATACCCGTTTATATACACGTGCTCAGGTCCATAGGTAGATGCACATATAATGAATACATACACACATGCACATACCAATACGAAAACACCCGCATACACACATACAGACATGTATGCATAAGCGTGTGCATACACATACACATAAACCTGTGATAAGTTAAGCACATAGATATAGGTGCATGTACATAAACATATGCATATACATATATACAAAAGCGCATGCCAACATATATATATATATATATGTATAATAATAATGATAATCATAAACACATTCATGCGTACACATGTGTATATACATGTATATGTGCATACACATACATGTGCATTGACATAGGTATCAACTTATACCTACACGTAGCCGTAAACACACGCAAATACATGGACATGCATACCTACGCATAGGTACACAGGCATAGACAGAAACGTATGCATCTACATATTTGAGTGTTCACAATCATCTACGTTCACACATGATCATACATAACTACATAAAGACAAGCATAACCACAACTCAAGACATACAGTTGTACACACACACACACACAGAAGACGAGACCCAGCCTGGTCCAGCAGGTACTGGGGCGTCTCGGACGCCTCCTGCTGCGCCTGCTGCTGCGCCTGCTGCGCCTGAGGGGGAGGACATATGCGAACCCCACCCGACCACCCCACGATTTCAAAGGGAGTAGGGTTCGCATGAGGCCATTAGGAAGAGGCGGGGGGAGGGCAGGGGGGGGGATCTCAGGCCTCAGGTCTTCGAGCGACGTGTCCAAAACGGACGGTCATCCCAGGATGAGAAGGCCAGTCAGATCAGATCACCCGTAGTGGAATCGTCCAGAGAGGAGACGAGGGGAAGGGAGGGATGGAGGCTTTGCACTGTTGAGTGCAGGGCAGAAGCACCAGCGTCGTCAGCGGTCGCCTCGCAGGAGGCGTCTGGAGCGCAAGCTCTCTGCCCCTCTCTTTCTCTCTCGGTGGCGAGCGACGGGGGCAAGTGACAAGGGACGGGTCTTCTCTGAAGGCTCATAAGTCCTCCTCCTTCGGAGAAGGTTTCCAAGCCTTCCCAGAAAACGCAAAACAAACCTCTCAGAAGGCGCAAGGGCTTCTGAGAAGTCCGGCCGCCTTGTAAGAAGGCCTTCTCCTTCTCACTTCCCCCCTCGTTCGGCGCCGACTCTCGACCCAGCAGGAACACAACCTCTTTTGAACACACACCGTGTGAGCAAGCAAGGCCCGGTCGAATCGAATCGGTCCGCAAGCGCACGTGGGCAGAGAGCTATAAATTCGTGTGGGCGATGGAAAATTTGCATGCAAAGCTGAACTCAGAAGTCTTGCGTGTAGCCCTCGGCCTGCGCAAGCCATTTCGTGTGCGGTCTCGAGCTGCGACGCACCATGGCTCACCAAACTTTGCAAGCGAGTACTTTTGTAACTGATCGTCCCAACGACATGCTGGACGACCTCGTCCACGGCCTGCCACGGGGGGGCTCACACGGCCCCACACCGTGTGAGCCCCCCGATTTCATCCCGGACGCTTCCACGAATAATCCCCCCGGGATCCCCCTGCCCGTCCAATATTTACCCGATGCCTCCACAGAAACGGACGCTCCGTTCCGTGTGAAGTTGTGTGACCTTTCGTGGCATTACCTTTTCACCCATGCCATATCCCAGCATATCCAATGAGCCCTCGCCTTGCCAGCGCGCGAATTCCTCTTTAAATCTTACATCATTTGCACTGGACGGGACGTTTTCAAAATGGGGCTCTCGAAGGCCACTTAGTTGAACTGGTCATCGAATTCTGCTTAGCGCGTCGCGGCGGCGGCCCTGGCGACAAGCTATGCCCTGCTAGCCGATGGCGTGTCGCTCCGCTCAGCGGGGCGGGAGGTCGGAAGAAGCACGGGACGCTGACGTTCGGGGACTGCGACCCGGCTAACATGTCGCGCCGAGGCATGGTGGGCCAGAACTGGCATGCGACACGCTCAACAAACTTGCCTGGCAGCTGATGGGGCATGGGACGGCGGAGTGAGCGAAGCGAGTAAATGACCTGCATGTGCCTAATCCGATGGATGTGCCTAATCCGCTGGTCCGTATAAGGGACGCTAGGCATCGATGCAAATCAGTGCCCTGGACTGCGTTGGACCTGTTCAAGCAGTTTCAAAACAGTCCCCCGGCACTGCTTCGAGCGTAGTCACAAGGGGTTGTCACAAGCGACATCGGATGATGGTGGTGATGATGATGTTCATGATGACGGCGATGCTGATGAGGATGAAGATGATGACCGATAAGCATCGAAAAAACGATAATGGTGAGGAAGAGGATGCTGACGATGATGGTGATGAAGATGTTGATTGTTCCACCTTGAACTGCATCACCATGCTGCACTTGTCTGCAACTGCGGCCATGCCACACTTGCTCATCACCAGTGCTGCCAGAAGACTGACCGCACACAGGGGCCCGTTCCTTGCACGGAGCCCCGCTCGATCTCGCAATCAGCCCTTCCACGAGCGAGAACGCCCAGTCCACGCGCGCGCAACGTACCGCAACTGCGGCGCGATCCGAGTGCCAGCTTCACTGGGATCAGTTTTGCCATCCCGTCGAGTGCCATTCCCACTGGGGCCAGTCCTGCCATCCCGTCGCGGGACCGCGCGCCGCCGCCGATGGCGCCGCAGGACCGAACCGCCACTGCGGCATGAGAGGTGGTCGCATCGTCGCCGATGGCAGCCCGCGGCGGCCGCGGTTTCCAAATTCGCTCAGCTCCAGCGTCTCTCCCCGCAACTTCGGTTCCCATCTGGGTATGTCTGGGCGCCCTCCCCCGCGGCTGCGGCGTCCGCGTTGCCGCCCTCACTGCAGCCCTCCCTGCCGCCCTCCTTGCCACCCCTCTGCGCCTGCTTCTCCAACCTCGCGAGTTTTTGCGGGCCGACCCGTGGCCCGCGCTGCGCGCGAAAACCGCCGAGAGGAAGCGCGCTCCGCTTCGAGCCTCGCCGACGGCGCCGCGCCCGATCTTCTCGTCGATTCTTCTTTGCCCGACTCTGAAAGGGTGGCGCGCCCACTCCACGTCGGGCGCCCCGTTCGCCATCTTTCGCGCGAAGTCCGCAACCGCGGCCAAGGAGGCGCCAGACGGCGCCAGGGAGGCGCGCGTCTCGACGTCGAGGGGCTCGGCCTTGGGCGCGCGTGTCTGCAGCGCCCCCCCGGGGCTGTTCGCGCTGTCGAAGACGCGGCAAGATGGGCCACCCGAAGCGTCAAGAGCCCGCCTTCGCGGTCGCGCAGGGCGCCCACGCCGCGGAGAAGCTCGCATACCCCAGGACAGCTGAAGAACATCATCGCCACGCCGTCAGCCCTGGGCCGGCCGCCCGGCGCCCCCCAGGGAGCCAGCGCGGCACACCCGCTGTGAGCCCGCGACTTCGGCGCCAGGACACAGGCTAGAGCGCGCGCGCGCGCTGAAATCCCCCATGCAGATCTTCACGCCCCACTCCTCTACATAGTCGACGAACCAATCGCAGAACGCACGGAGCTTCCCGGCGCCCCAGTTTTGGCCGGCCAAGCCGCGGCGGACGCGCGCCGCCACGACATTGAAGGAGCTCTCCAGATGGGGCGCGCCCTGGCCCGGGCGGGCGCGCGCCACCATCGCCCTGGAGTACTTGTTGTGCCATTTTGGCGCAGGGGCCTCTGCAACTGCGGAGTTGCCCTTCTTCTTGCTCGTCTTAGACGTCTCCCGCTCGTGGAAGCACCTCGCAAAGTCGACGCGTTCAATGCGGCCGCCACTGCGGTCTCTGATGCCAACCAGGACCTGGGGGGCCCCCGAGGGGTCGCCGCCCTTGGCGCGCAGGTGGTTGCAGCGTGGCCGAATATGAAACTGATCGTCCGCAACTGGGGCCGCGCCGGCGCTGGCGTCGCGCTCCTTAGAGAAGACCGCACGCGTCGGATCATCGCACTCGCACGCGGCGATGGTCTGGGCAGGGTTCGCGTAGTCCGCGCCCACTCGTCAGCGCGCTGCCAAATGTCAGCTGCCGACGGTCCGAAGTGGGCCACGTAGGAAGTGATCCGCCCCGCTTGGCACTCCGCTTTTGTCCCCCATGCCTGGACAAAGGCCCCCTGCCCCTTCCGACAGATTGCCCGCCTCGACGACGGGCGCCCGGCCCCAGACTCGCGCCGCTGAAAATCCCGTCGGCATGTAGAAGTCGCGTTGTGCAGCAACTGCGGTTTCCGAACCTCGCTGAAGCCTCACCTGGTCTTCCGCCTCGCCAGCGGAAGCAGCCGAGGACGCGGCGGCGCCGTCGCCATCGCCGCCCATGCACCCAGAGGATACCGCCAGGCGCGCAGGCGCCCGCGCGCCTGCGAGCGCGCGCGCGCCCCACCTCGAGCCCCGGCGGCCACGGAAATGGAGCGCGAATGGGGGCGGGCGCGGGCGGCGGGAGGAGACGAGGGGATTGGGGGAGCGGCAGAGGGAGGGCGAGGACTGCAAGGAACTACAAGAACAATATGAAGATTGGCGGAGAGGCAGACGGAGGGCGAGGACTGCAAGGGACTGAGAAAGGATTCGCTTCGCAGCAACTGTCGGGAGCGGCCGAGCGGGGGGTGTCCAAGAGGGGGGGCGCAAATCATGACCAGCGGCACGTGCGCGGCCCAGCGGGGGGGCCAGGGACGTAATGAAATAAGAAGAGGCGCCATGAGATCTGGGGAAAAATCATGGCCCACGCTATGATATCCACCCCCCCTAGACATCGCACCCATCTTTTCCGCCCCCGAAACTGAAAGACCGCAACTGCGGTTTCGCACCGCAGCTGCGGTTGCGCCTCCTCTCCTGCCAGCGCGCGCATGGAAAAACGCGCCCATGCTGGACTCGCCGCGGCCCCGCAACTGCGGCATGCAGGGTCTATGGCTGGGATTGCCGGCGCCATTTGCGCGCCCAGGGCCCTCGGCGCTGTCTCCGCGCGCGCGAATTGCGACGGCGCCGAGCGGTTCCCAGACGCCGCGTCGCTGGCGACTCGCTGCCGCACAGCAAACGTGAACGGCCATTGCTCCTGGTGTTCCTTGCGCATCTCCTCGCCCCAATGCGTCTTGAACCACGCCCGCTCCCCCTCCGCGCGTCCGAGAGGACGCCATTTCCGTGAGCGAAGCGATCCAGAACTGCCATCCTGCGTTTCTTGACCTTGAACTCGCTGGGACCCCGCCGCGCTAGGGCGCGCTGGCTCGCCAAGGCCGCCCCCCCGCAACTGCGGCCTCCTTCTATGCCCTGCGTCCTGTTGTGGGGCGCCCGAGACTACTGTGAGCCTCGACCACCTGGTTGTAGGTCTCGGTGTCTAGCATGTCTGTCGCATCCAAGCCTGAGGCGTCCTTTTCCTTGACCTCGGGGTCTCCCGTCGCGATGTTGCGCGCCTCCTTCATGCCGGCCGTTGGTCACAGTGGCCTGCCCAGACCACGCGCCGCGCCGGAAATCTCCGCGTCGCGCTCCTCCGCGGCCTGGATCCAGCCCAGCTGCTGCACCCGCTGGGACCACCTGATCGGATCTAGGTACTCAGCCACCTTCTTGCAGAACTTCAAGGGATAGCTAGCTGAGAAGGGTGCGGGCCTTCCGCCGATCTCAATATGGCGATCCCCCCCAGGACTTACCTGCGCCAAATAATATCTGAGGAGCAATT